GCTGGATTAAACTTCAAAAGGCAATGATGTCATTGAATAAATATAAGCGCTGTACGTTTCAAGTCAAAACGCAGCGCGGATGTCTTTATTTGAATGTATCTGAAGGGAACCGACTGTCCTCAGAAACGTGTCGTTAGCATTTTAATTTAATTTGACCTATAATTCCTGATAAAGCAGCGTTTATGAGCGCGGAGCTGCTTTATGTACAGCCGTTACCGGGGAAACCGCAATATTTCAGCACTCCTAAAGCGCCACCTCGTAGCAGAGAATGAATTTGCATTTCCAATAAGCCTTTCTTTGTGATTATGGTCAGATCAATGCAAATATCAGCCCATGTTAATGTGCCTTCTAAAAATCTAAACAATTAAGACAGTAATATTTATGCGTTTTAAATTAACATAATAATTTATATGCTTGATTTATCCCTTTTCATAAAATTGGTCTAAAGGCTGAAATGCTGTTGTATAAGATTAGTTTATAAGATTAGATAAGATTTGTTTTTGTGAAAACCTGTAACTGAACTGTAAATCATGTAATTTTATGGCTCAGTACTGTATGTTACCACAGACCTTGTCCAACCCCACTCATACTGTTCATTTTACTTGTGCAGCTCTTAAAATGGGTCACAAATTGCCTTACATTTGTTTAAAAAAATTCTGCAGATACCCTGTAAATAGTGAAATAAATTCCTTCCTTCATATTTGTTGATATTTGTGTATTAAAAATATTTTTGATTGACATTTAAACTCCTGTGTGATTTTCTATATATATTTTTTTAAAAGGTCTTTTTTTATTTGGGCTAGTTAAATACATTTTTGGGCTACCAAAATCTGAAGAGTACCTGCCCGAAGGGCTACCAGGAATTTTGAAATTTTGCGAGCCCTGCTCTGCTGGCAGGTGGATTCCCATTCATTCACTCTCACAGAAAACGGACGCGCTTTCTATCGGTCAGACATTACATGTGTGCGCTCAAAAATCTTCTCTCCCGAGTTTAATAAACGCAACCTGGAGTGTGGGCATCCACCGGCAGAAAATTGGCGCATATATGCCAACGATGTAAATCAGTAGCCTATTTACATAGCATAACAGTAATAAATGTATCTGTTTCGCACATGTCCCGCATTGTCCCGTAAAATCACATCTACTGTCCTGCAATAGCCAGGTGGTCACCCTAGCGTAGAGTAATAAAATAACAATTAGTAATTTAAATCAGTAAATTTTAACGAAAACAATACATTATAAAAATGAAAAGAAGCAGGTTTTTTGCGATCAGATCAACCGGTAAAGTCCTGGAAAGTAAGAATCCAGAAAGTAAGCGAATGCATTCAAACAGTAAGTTCAAAACAGCGCTAATGCAGAGAAAACACGGCCTATTTTATCAGATATGGCGGAGATAATAGTACTCGCGTACAGATGTCAGTAAAAAAAAAATCAGCAAGCTATTTAGCTTAAAAGCACGAGTGTTTTATACTGGATGCTGGCTGAAGGTGTTGTTTGGTATCGCAGATTGACTTGTGCAATGCTGTAAACTACTAAATGCAATGAAGAAATTTTCATTTTCTGTGAAGCTGCTTCGCAATAGTGTATCATGAAAAGTGATATACAAATAACGTGAATTGAATTGCAAACAATTAATGAATTTAGTTATTTATTGTGGCACTATATACATTCATTGCGGATTATGAAAATGAAAAAGTACTTTTTTAGTACTTTAGTTTGTATTTATTTATTTTTGGGTGGGGGAGTGGGGTTGAGTACCACCACTTCT